GCAGAGGCTGAAGTTAAAGAAAAGTCTTAATGCAAAGGAAGAAAATCTGAAGACACTGAGTCACAGAGGTGATCCTACAAGAACTAACACAAATAAGGTCAAGCTCGATACTGCAAAGGGCGGTACCTAGTAAAGGAAGTACAGAACATCCGGTATCCAGATCAGATCTTCATTCATCAAACATCAGGAATTTCAGAGCAGAGACTTTGCAGATGAGGGTGAAACAGGTAGCTGCCTAAACAAATTAGGTATGCACCTATGAGCTGATGTCAAATGCTGACGTAATCTACTGTCAACAAAGCAAAAGTGCATCACAGAGTGCAGAGTCGGCCACACGTGAATTGGGGAAAAAAGTTAAAGACTAAATGCTTCTTTCTACGTGTACATTAAGGCTGGAAGAAAACACAAGCAAGTGGCAAGGCTGCCAAGCAGAAAGAGACGAGAGGAAAAAATAGTAAAGACTTAACTTCACACTACAGCCTTAACATTATTTTTTTTAAAACCAAAGATACAGATTCCTTATTTGAAAGATAAAAAAAACCATTCAAATGAATTTATAAGTTGTTGTTGTTATATACCATCAAACCACAACCAACCCACATCTGATCTTCCAGCAAGTGTTCAGAGGCAGTAAACTGACAAGCACAAACTGCCCATCTCTCCCCTGTGGAGCAGCTGGTGGCTTCAAACCACCTTTGCGATGGCAGCACAATTCCTTCCCACTAAGCCACCAGAGCTCCCAAGTAGCAAGAAATGGAGAGATCAAGAATGATTTGTAAGGGGAGCTCTGGTGGCCTAGTGGCAAGAAACTGCACTGCAAACCCAGAGGCGCACGGTTCAAATCCACCAGATGCTCTGCCGGGAAAAGGAGGGACAATCTCCTCCTGTACCAGTCAGATCCGATTTGACGGTACACACACACACACAAAATAATAATTTAAAAAATAAAATAAAAAAAAGAGAATGATTTGTAGTAAAAGCCAGGAATACAATCTACAAGAAATGCTCAAGTGTAAGGTGGCTGAGTGTAAGGTCCAAACTGGCTGAGCCATCAGTACAGTAACACAAGCCGATGATGAACCTTGGCTGAGCCAACTCCTGCAGACAGAAACCTTTCATGAACTTCCAGATTGGGGAAGAATTAGTACCAAGTCACAGTCCTGCGTAGCTGAGAGCAGGTGAGTCACACAGAGATGATGTAGTAGCTGAAGTTAACTACTGGGACTTGTAGATAAGAGTATGTATCTGTGTATTTACTCCCCACCCTGTAAATTAAAAAAAGAGAAAGCATGGGTAATATTTAAATATCTATGAAAACTATATAGTACCACCAGCATAGCTATTCAGATACAAAGAGCACTGCCCATGTATAATGGAAATAGATGAGTCACTGAAGGTAAGCTTGGGAGTAGAATGGGACAGGAAGGAACTGACCGTATCTCCGGGTTGGAGGATACCTCACTCCTTAGGTCATCGGGCCTAAACTATCATCTCATCCTCTCAGAGGTTTCAGTTAGATGCAGTTTTTAAATACCTCAGTGCTAAAGGGCCTTAGTAGACTGGGGATTATACAGGCATGCAAGAGACTACTGCCTTGAAAAATTACAATTTCTTAATTACAAAACCCTAATGAAATAGAATAATTTAATACTTACTTGCACCACTCAACAAATCAACTCTAGTTTAAAATAAATCAAACTCACTGCTGTCTCGGACTCATAACTGACCTTCCAGTGGCTGTAAATCACACAGAAGGACATTGCCCATCTTTCCACTGGTGGATCCGAAAGACACTGCCTTTCAACTGGCACGTTTACTCCCTACAGAGTTCCCTGTAAGCTATACAACACACTTACTGCTGCTAATTGGAAATGACTCAGCAGACCTGCCAGTGGGTTTTCAGAGGCTTTAAATCACATTGGAGAAGACTGCTGGTGGATGTGATCTTTGAGTTGGCAGTACAAAAAAGTTACAGTAGAGTGGATTCGGACTCATGGAGACTCTATGTGGGTCAGAGCAGAACTGTGCCTCTGTTACGATTTTCAGTGGCTGGTTTTTCAGAAATTTAACAATTCATTACTGTGGGTGGAGCCACAATCAACACCCAACATGGCACCAGTCAAGAAATCAGAAGACATACTGAATTCAGAAAGAACCTCTCAAAATTTGTGAAGAACAAAGACATCTGTTTAAAGACTCAGCTGTGCCTCATTCAAGCCATGGTATTATCAAGTGCTTCCCATGCATCTCAAAGTTGAAAGAACTGACATCTCTGCATTGTGGTGCTGTAGGAAGTATTGAATATCCATTCCATGGACTAGCAAAAGAACAAACAAATCGGTCTTGGAGAAATACAATGAGGGTACTCCTGAGAGGCAAGGATAGTGAAACACATTTTGGGCATGTTGTCAGCAGAGGCCAGGACCTGGGAAAAGGCATTATGATGGGAAAGTAGAGAGAGGGTAGATAGAGAAAGAGAGGAAGACACTCAATAAGATGGCTTGACACAGTGACTGTAACACCGGTCTCAAGCTTATCAGAGAGCGCACATGGATGGCAGGGCAAAGTTCATATCTGTTGTTCAAAAAGTTGCTAGGAGTCACAGTCGACTTGATAGCACCTAACAACGTAACACCAGGCCTTTCTTCCAAGATGCCGCTTTCAGTTCTGAGCCAAGCACATTAACCACTCATACCACCCAACGACTTCATTTAAAATTGAAAATTAGTTGCAACAATGAATGAATGGAAACCCTAAGTCTCTGTAAACTTTCATTAAAATGAAGTAAAAAAAAAAATTTTAATGAGAGCTTAAGAATTTGCCTCCAAAGAAATCTTAAATTACCACTTAAATGGTAATTTCACTGGAGATTTTTTTTTCCAATGAACACATTTCAGAAGATAGGACAAATGGTTTTGGAATCATACCATTTCCAATCAACTATTCTAGTCTTCTTTAAAAGTAAAAAAATTGGCAAATATTTAAAAACAACAACACACACACAACCAAATTTTGATTACAGTAAGAAAACAATGAGCTCAATTTTAAACACCTACATTCCCAGGTTAAATTTAAAAAACAAAACAACCACCAAAAAAAAAGCCCCATACATTCTGAAGACAAAATCTTGCCAAGAAGACAGTTTTTATAAAGTAATGTATGAATTAGCCAATTAATTTCAGATTTCTTTGTCAAATGTCACTTTATTATAAACTGAAATAGTAAAAAAAAAAAAAAGCAAAAAAACCTTACTAATTCCAAGCTATAAGTATTGAAATAAAACCTATATGAAGGCATATCTATATGCACAGCTATTACCCTATTTCGATGGTGTGAGAGAAAAGGAACCTGCATCTCTATTTGACCAGTACACTCTACTGTTGCTGTGTACTGTCGAGTTGGAACCGACCCACAGCTGACCCTCTGGGGGTCTTCAGAGGCAGTTACTCCCATGGGAGGAGACTGTCCATCCTTCTCCAGCGAAGCAGCTGATGGTTTCGAACCAGGTGTCTTCAGGATTGCAGAGCAGCTTCTTGCCACTGGGCTCTAATTACAACATTCTTCTGCTCTGCTAGTAGCACACAAGTAATCGCTAACCCTAATTAAGTGAAAGGGAGTTCTAGTAGTCTAGTGGTGAAGAGCTGTGCTGCCAACGCAAAGGTAAGAGGTTTGAATCCACCAGCTGCCCCGCAGGAGAAAGATGAACAATCTCCTCCCATGCACATGACTTCCCCTGAAAGCCCTCTGGAGGGTCAGCTATGGGTCAGTTCTGACTACATAACAACAAGGAAAATTTTACTTTAACTGTACATACAGTGAGAGAATTTGACGCACTGCTCTTTTTGTTAACCAAGGACAATTACTACAAATATAAAAACAAAAGCATGCTCAAGTAGGCTGCACTACAACTCAACATAAGGACAGGCAGATTCCTGTGTGAATTCCTACTGGGTTAAATATATATAAATAAGTATAATAATAAGTATTCTATAAAATAGTGTCATGAGGACTACAGATGAGAAAATCTACTAAACAAGTCTTACAATTAGAGGAGGAGGAGTTTTCTCAATTTGGACAAGAGGACACCCTATTTCTGAGAATCATAAATGAAACCAATATATATGCCATTCTCTTTTTCAACAATTTAAAACAATCACCTCAAAATGATTCTTATCAATACAAAATGAGTGATTACACAAAAATTATCTTTTCCTTTGACATTTGAAATTTATTAAGATAATAACTTTTAAAATTTCAGCTGATGTTGACCAGTCAGTCGTGTGTGTGTGTGTGTGTGTGTGTGTGCGCGCGCGTGCATGCAGCGTGTGTCCACATTTGACTGAACACTTTATAATGTAAGAGAAGCCAAATCTACTAGGGGTGGACAAGTAGAGTCTAAGAATCACAGCAACTTAAGCTCTTATCAATGACAATACAGGAGTTAACAGTTCTCCACCATTTATATGTAGTAAGAAGCATCTATGCTAAAGCACTAGCTCATGACTGCACAAATACACCTTTTAAATAGAGTTCTTTTAAGAATACAATGAAGAACTAGGCAAATATATATGAATACACCCCAGCAAGAGTTTTTTCCTTGTGCTCTATTAAATACACTGAGTTTCCAGGGCCAGGTAGGAGAAAGCAATTGATATAAAGAAATAAGGTACTTAATCTAGAATAAATGCCATCTCAGACACCACATTTTAATCAACTAGCCCTGGTATAACTTGCTGGCTTGTGAATGTTAAGAAAAGCATGCCAAAAGGTAACAAAGGATCTTCTTTCAAACACTCCACATGATGCTCATCTTTTTAATCTATAGTGTTTATTTTCAAATTAACATAAATAAAGGAAGCTTTTAAAGCGACAATTCAAAGAATTCTATAAAGAAAACCAATATGTACAGCTCATTACTTTTTAAAAGGCATTTCTAAGGATTTCTAGGTAGTTTCTAACTTCAATGTGGAAATTAAAAACAAGCCCTGAGACATTCATACCTGATCGAAAGCACTCGATTATTTGCTGAATGCCAGATTTGGATGTCTGAAGCGGCTGCTGTAACAAGGGCGGATCTCCAGGTTCCAGGATATAAACTACATGGAAGACAAACACCCACACCAATCCCCAGAAAAACAGGGTTATTTCAATCATTCACTATTGAAGTGAAACAATAGTTTGCTAGCAATTACGTTAATGATAATTATACTTGTAAATATATAATATGGACCATTATCTTTGTGAAGTAAAAGGAAACAACGGGAGAAAATAAAACAATTAAAATGATTCTCAATTCAAGGCTAAATTAATGCTCCGTAATAGTACAAATGAGGTCCAACTGCAAAGGCAGGCTTTCCTACTTCACAATTATTTAGTACTTATTTTTCATGTTTGCCTTTTTATTCTCCTTTAAAAGAAATTGCCATATTTACGTACATCCTAAGGCAAAGGTGGCCTTAGTAATCCTCATAAACCATTCCAAAAATTTTTGGACACTCTGGTACAGCTCTCTGAGTAATCAGGGACCTGGGGGGTGGGGACGGGGAACCCTCTCAAAAATTATTAAGGAGACAAGTGCACAGAGTTAGAGGTTCACTGCAGCACTGCACATAATTGCGAAAAATCTCAGTCTCTCACAAGAGGCTAGACTAGATTGCTCAGCAGCAAAACCAAGCTACCGAATGGTTTAATTCCATTTATGTTAACACATATTTGAAACAGACAGTGAAAAACACACATTTGTGAATATGCACAGATGCCAACAGAAACACAAGAACGTCTCAAGGGAGACCAGTAAAACCTAGCGTACTCTACCACAGAGCTTTACCCTCTATCACACACTTTCTTACTGTTTACATTTTAGAATAAGCATATCTTCACAAAAAGTGAAAATACTATTTTTATCTTAAAAAGAAGTTTCCTTTGCAATGGTCTTTGTCACTCCTACTTTCCAAAATCCTTGGACTCAGTTTAATTATATTGTAAATTAGACTCTGGTAGAATGAAACAAGTGAGTAAAAAGATAAATGGCCTTTTTCAATCTGTTATCTAATAAGGAGATAAGGCTGTGGTGGAGGAAATCTCAACAAAAATGCTAATCACTATGTCGCAGGAACAATTTGTTTTATTAAGCCAAATTTTCGCTATTTTAAGAGACACTTCAGTAGCATTTTTAAATGCATTAAGAATGCACATGAACATAATTCATACTGAGAACATCTGTTATCTGGCATTGCAACGCATGATTAAGAGCACAGATTCTGGACCAGGGCAGCCTGCACTTTCTGTTATTCACTAGGTGCAACTGATGTTGTTACATACCGCTGAGTTGCAAATGAATCATAGCTGACCCTCTAACAGGTTTCCAGAGGCTGCCCTCTCGGGAGAGACCGCCCATCCAGTGGAGTAGCTGGTGGATTCAAACTGCCTGCCTTTGGGTTGGCACTGTAATTATCTACCAGGACACCAGAGTTCCCACTAGATGCAAACAGAGTATAATGAACTCTCTGACCTCTCTTCTATCTCTGAAATGAGGATAATACAGCCACCTAGATCACAGGGCTGCCGTGAGGATTACACGAACCAATGACAGTCAGCTCCTTAAAACCTATGCAACAATGAATGAATGGAAATCCAACTTCTCTATAAACTTTCATTAAAATCTCAATTAAAAAAATTAAATTAAAAAACCCAACTCTAGAATATACTAGGTGTTCAATAAATTTTTCTCAACTTCATTAGCAACAAGGTGTACAAGTCACTTCATTGTCTTAACACCAGAAACTGAAAAATATAGCAAAACTCCAGAGAAGGAGAATTAAATCCTTCAGAGAAGCAACAGAAGTTCATAAGTAGACTGGTGAAATGAATCTCTTCTTAAATATTTTTGTGTGTTTTAGCAGCTAACAATCATTTATTTAAAAAGTAGGGGATGTTGTCACTCTACAAAAAAGAGCAGAAACCACACAATTTTAAGACATAAAAAGATCAAAGTCTACTTCTGAAAAGGGCAGTAATTCTAGAAAGAGTAAGTGAAGCAAAATACACACATACCCTAGAAATAAAGGAAGGGAAAGCGTAAGGGGAAAAACATTTCTCCTTAGAGCACTTTTCTCCTGTAAGTCCACGCTTCCAACTTCTATTTCCTTATGGCAACACCTGATTTATGTTAGAGCATTTTCTCAATCACCCTCAGAATAATGGTACCATCAGAACACTGTGTATTCTATGACACTGTTAAAACACCCTAAGGTTAACTCAGCATGCAGTTCTTGCGCTAAGAAATTATTCTTGATTTAAAAATACTTTGAGCTACAAAACCACACCTACATTCATTCATGCATAATACATAATACGTATATTCACACTCAAATCCTCACTGCCATCAACTCACAGTGATCTGCCATCAAATCTGCCGATAAATCCCAATGGGAAGAGACAGCCCATCTCTTCCCCCAGGAGCCCCCCTAAGGGAAGGTCTGGTGAAGTCCTGTAGGACATGGATTGCTGTGTTCCACCAAGTCGGAACAGACCCCTAGCTGACCCTCCAGTGGGTTTCCAGAGGCAGTAAATCGTACGAGAGACTACCACCCATCTTTCTCCCACGGAGCAACTGGTGGATTTGAACTATGTGCCTTCCGGCTGACAGTGCAACTCCTGACCACCAGGCCACCAGACACAGAATACATATACTATCATCCATCCCACATTCAGACTCATCTAAGTTACAGAACCCTTCAGAAAGAGGACACCTTCCTCCAATCAAAACAACACAAACCATTACAAGTTAAACTCTCTCCTTACATGCCTCCAAAAACACAATTTCCAAAACAAAGCATCTACTCTTACAAGAATCTATTCTAATTTAAAACTAGTCCCTTAAAAGATTCTTCTGGTTCTAACGTCTGAGGTTTGCATCAAAATAAAAGGAGCAGAACAGAAGGTGGAAAGAGTGGAAGGGAAACTGTGGGGAAATAAAACATTGTTCATAAACTGTTAACTGATGACACTGTGATGGTGACACCAGCTTCCTTATACCATTCTCTGTGACGATAAACAATATTCTTAATGTCGAATAAGAAGATATTTCATATACAAAGACAGGCAAATAACACCACCCTTAACTACAAGCGGGCTCATCCTGTCTAGACACAACATCTTCTCCGGAAAGGTTTTTATCTTAACTAAAAAAACCAACCAATGTCCACAATTCAAATGCAGGATAACTTCTCATCAGGATTTATTATTAAGAGAATTCTGAAATATCATTTCTTCTTCATTCTGCCTAAGAGCAGATCTCTTAAAAAACTATCCCACTATGTTCATTTCCGTTCTAGAACACGCCGTCCTCTCCACGTATGACAATGCTGTAAGTTAAACTACCTTCCAATTAATGACAAGAGGACCAACGGCTCTGGTGCATTAGGAATTACACCGCCAACCCAAACCCAGGTGGCCTGAATCCACCAAGGGCTCTGTGGGAGAAACACGACTGAGCTCCTGTGCAATTTAGTCTCGGAAACCCTGAAAACCTGATGGAGGATCAGCTATAAACTGGTTTTGACTTGACAGTACCTAACAACTCTTTCAGAAAGCAGCTTCAATGGTGTAGTTTGTAGACTTAAACTGCCAACCCAAAGGCCATGCCTCTCCCAAGGGAGTAAGAAGGACTATTTCCTCCCATTCACTCTACAGCCTCAGAAACTCATGGGGGAGAATCAGCTGTGAACTGATTCCACCTTGACAGCGAAGACTTGAGGGAGTGAATTCTCTACGAAGAGTTTAATCCTGGCTAAGAAGGCAAAGAATAACTACTTTTGACCTGGTAATCTGCGTGCAAGAGGAGAATAGGGCTGGAGGTGGAGAGGACACAGCATGGACTAAGTGTTTGGCAAAATAAAGATGGAAATTTTAAATTAATATAATTAATCTGATTTCTTATTAACAGAGGAGGAAAAAATAAAAGTTCCAATACACATCAAAAAATTCTGGAAACCTCTTTCAGAAGTCATTAAAAGCCACAGAAAATGTAAGTCACTAGAACACTTCCATCAAGTAAGTAATCAATCTTGTTTATTTGTTTATGTCTATCCATTAAAGGAAGGCATTTTCTCTAGTGTGGACACCACTTGCATCACTACTACCTTGGACAGTGACAGGCCAGCACCACTAAATGCTCCAGCTCCATAATTTTCTGTTGAACTGACAAACTAACATATCAACAAATTCTTCCTAAATAACACGCTTTTATAACCTAATTCAACTTACTCCTCCACAGCGATTCACAGCCTCAGATACCTACTTGAGGGTCAGCTATGAGTCAAAGAGTGAGTGAGTGAATTCAACTCACAGAAACAGCATGAAGTATTCTCAGAAAAGAGGCAGTAGAATAAAAGTGCAATGGAACACAAGCACCAAAGACATTTCCTATCTCTGTACTTCAAAGCTGTATTCAGAGTTTAGTGAAACAGAAAGATATTTTTAATTTTCAATACAAAATTGCACAGTGTGAAAGGGTTCTGGAAGTTAGATGGTGCAGAAGGCAGCAGAGACTCCCTGATTAGGTGAGGGAATTACTTAACTGATCTCAGCAGCACAGTAGGGCAGTCACAACCTAAAATTTCTTTGCATGTGCACAAAAGTCCTCTGACAAGAAAGCCCTTCTTCTTTATCACGATTTGTTCCTATCATTAAAAAAACCCTCAGTCCACTTAAAATCAACTCTCCTGATAAACCTATTATATGAGCACAGTTTAGTCATGTAAAAGCATCAGAAGTCCTAAGAACTGTGAAAATAAGCAAGAACCTTCTTTTGAACTAGAACTGCTTTTGTTTCAATGATCCCCTTTTGAGTGGTATCTCCAAATGCTTGTAACAGGGCACATCAACAAGTACAGAAACTGTCAAAAGTCTATACATCCGAAATAAAAAAAAGTCTACATATCACATCACATATCAGCGCTTGCTGATACTTTGATGACTTTCAAAAGTAATCATTTCATTTAAAAAAAAAAAAAAACCCAAAACCCGAAACAATCCACTCAAGGCCCTTCAATACTCTGATGGTCTATCTAAGCGGGAGACTTTTTTCATTTTGCAATACAGTAAAATTTTTTGTAAAGATCCAATTTTTGCAAAAAAAAAAAAATGAATCCCACTTTGTGGGATTCAAAAAGTTGTTTTTTTCCTTTTAATTCCAAACTACACACTACACTCATTTTAAGACTTGGCGCTTTTGAGGTCTTAAAGAAGAGAAACAAAATACATGCGGATGGACGTGCCGTTCCAATGACACCATTTCCACGAGCGAGGCTTCCAGCACCTGGTTTTCCCTTTTACGTTTCAACATTCGCGGAGCTGGAGGCGGGTGCGCACCACGAACCAGCGACTATCCAGAAAGGAACATGGGGGGGGGGGGGGCCGGGACTGAGCCAAGCCCGCGGGCGACCCGGGCAGGTCTGTTTGGAGGGCGCACTCGGAGGAGCCCTCCTGTCTGGACGAGCTCTCCGCCCCGCCACCCCGCTTTACGCAGGGGAAAATTACAGGCTGCTTCCTGAGGATGGCTGCTCGGGCAGGAGGACGCGGCTGGGAGGGCCGAGGACGCAGCGGGAAGGGCCGAGGACGCAGCGGCCCCGCGGGCGCGCACGGCACCAGGCGGGCGGGGTGTACCTGGTTCACAGCATCCGTGATGATGGTGGTCAGTCTGACAGTACTTGTCCCTTAAAGGCATTTTCAGCGGCCACGACCTACTTCCCTTTCACTGTAAGCTGCTCTTCATCGCGGCTCGGCTGTGGAGAGAAGCACAAACCCGTCACTCGCCCGGCCTTGCTGGGGGCACCCCGGCTGCCTTCCGCGAGCAGCCGAGCCCTGGGTCCCTGCGCCCCGGCGCCTGGCTCTGCGCACCGGGAGAGGCGGCGAGGGCAGCGACGCGAGCGCACGGGAACGGA